TAGTGAATCGCACATATGTTCTAAACCAAAGCAGCATTTCATCCCTGAAATAGGTAACTGGCACGTTACAGGTATTTACCACCCCGTGACCGTCTCAATCAAGGCGTAAAGTGTTTGTTTACGTACAACAAGTCTATATACTTACGCAAATATAATTTGATCACTTCTTCATATTTAAAAGAATAATTAAAATAATCAAAATTGACCCTATGGCCAAAACTATGTAATCAAAATTTAGATTGGGTAAACCTTTACACAAAAAATGAACGTAATTTCCAACCAAAGATGGAAAATTTAAAAATATAAAAAATGTTGCATAAAAAACAAATAAATTATAAAGAAATGCCACGATTACTAACTGCATTAAACAACACAAAAATAACAACAAACAAACTATAACACGATGCTTTCTCATTGATCGCATAAATTCAAGACCCAAGTTTTCCCCTTCTAATTAGTCGCGCGGTTCCGGCTCTCAAAAATGTGTGCATTATCGTAGGTTGTATTATATAGGGTGAAACCTCTCACTTTTTTTGAAAATGCTTCTGCATAAGTTTATTCGACACAAAATTACATCTGAAAGTCGCGGGTAAGTCTACAACATGTAGAAATTAGATTGAAATTGTGCCTTTCATAAACTTACTATCAACTATCAAAATTGTGCGTCAAGATTGTTTTTTTGCACCTTGATGGGAAGATAGTTCTAACAACGCCCTAATTTAATGCGAAATGTGCGCTCTCAAAGTGAATCTTTGGGCATAAATGGAAATTGAAATTCCAACTGTGACTTTCATACAAAAACTCGAGCACACGAATAATCGATAAAAATGGTGTCAAAGACGACATTTTGCGCTGCAATAGAAAATACGTTTTTGTACTCATTGAATGGAAAGATAATGTTTCCAAGCATCCTCGATGCACGGGAAAACGACTTTCCCGCATCGCGGTGTTTTTTAGTTTCCGCTGGAGAGAAGGGGTTATGCGCGTTCTTCGGTTGGTAGTACTTATTGAAGTCAACAAACGTCATGTCATGGTTAACTGTCATCTGCTGTAAAATCAATTAAACCGTTGGTTGAGGGTATTTAGTGCGATTAATCGGAAACAGACGTACACTAAGTTTTACCATTGAATAAAAACACTATAGTGTTTTTATTCAATGGTTTTACGTAAATATATAAACAAGAACTTATAACGCAATCAAATTATTTTTCAGAATTGGAACTCAAGAAAAAGTAAAATTTATTGTTAAAACGTCTTAAAATCTGACCAGTAATATTCTGCAACTATTCGCATATGCAGTTTAAGAAAGCATATTAACACACACAAAGCTTCCAAGGATTTTAAATGTAACGAGTGTATTTACGCAACTCAAGATATTCAGTGCAAACGATGCAATGCCGTGACCAGTAGTAGCACTCATTGCAAAGGCAAAATATTATGTATTAACCAAAGATCTGAAAGTTTTAAATGTGACCAGTGCGATGAAAAGTGGGTAGTTACAAAATTATGTTACCAACCAAACATATGATTGTGTTACCAACTCATGATTAAAAAAAAAGCTAATTTACAAAACTTTATTAATTTTGACCTTTTTTTACGCAATTCGTTACAAAAAATATTGTACCTAACTCTTTCGGAAAGAATTTTCCCGCATTCGCACTAAATGCAGCACTCCCTACGGTCGTGCTGCAAACAAAGTGCTCATGCGGGAAAATTAACTTACCGAACTTGTTAGGTAAATAACTATTGTAATTGTGGTGCAGTAAAAGATGCGCTGTATACCTACGGAAAATAAATCTAGAATTTCTACCGATCTGTTCGTAAATTTACGAATAAAGTGAATTATTCGTTCTAATAAAAATGGCAGGAGCCGTTGTGAAGTCCCCAATTTTGACATTTTCAGGTTATCCAATTTAAATTTGAAAATTCTGAAAGCTTTAAAACGCTCTGAAACACCGCTTAAACTTTTCGAAGCTTTAAGGCCCTGAACGTTTCGGCAACCCTTAACACTTCGAAAAACTCTCCGAAATTCTTTGATCTTTATGAAACCGCCTGAAATTTCTTCAAGATCTCTGTGTAACTAACCTAAACCTTCTGATCTTTTCCAAAACTATACGCCTGAGAACTTTTTGAAATCCTGTCAAGCTCACTAAATCCCATCTCTGAAACTGTCTGAAATGCTTTGAAACTCTCTGAAACATTAATTCTCACCAACTTTTCGAAATTGCGCTGAAGCTCTCTAAAATTGTTTATAACCCGATGAAATCTCCAAGTGCCGGAAAAAACATTGTCGAAGAATAGAAACAATTAGTGAATTCGAATCTTCTTGGAATTAAAATTGTTTTTCGTCGTATGGTTTTCGTATGAACGAGGGCTTTGGTTCAATTTTCTATGTGTTTAATTAGCAATTATACTGAATGCTTTATTAAAACGGGTGTACTAATTGTACATGAGATAACTAGTGTTTCAATATACGACCTGGTTGGTTGTTGTTTCTATGTAATCCCTAAATGAGCGTTTATCGGTAATTTTATCACTCTTTGCTAAATTAGTATTAATAAACACCCCAAATACAACTGCCTCGGCTTACTTTTGGTAAAAATCTCTAGTAAAGCCAAGGGTGAACAATCTGCTCTTGGGGTGGAACGTTTGAATTCATACCAATGTATGTATCTACGTCTAGCGGACAGTACACGTAATTTCCACAGGATCTCTTCCAGTTAAGGGTATACGTTTACGACAGATGGCGCGCTAAGCTTTTTTAAAGCTTTATAATCAAATCAATATTTACTAGTGATTTACTCCATTATCGACACGGTGCCCCACGGATTAAAGTGAACTGTCACAGTATCGGGACAAAATCAAGGAAAAAGCATAATCTAGTTGTACAGTTATTTGACTGCATTCTTAAAATCTTGTCATCAGGGCGAAAGGAATTAATCTCACGTTGAACGGGTTTACTGTACCGATATATAAATCAAAAGCTGCAATTACTCGATCATGTTTTCTTTAAAATAACATTCCTTTCAAACTAATTACATAAATAGGGCAATTACAAACCTACCTATTGCAATCCTGCTAATTACAGCTAACTCGTTTACTCTAAATATCTCATTTATGTTAATAATCAATATAAAAAAAAACTCCTACCGTCTGACTACTATAGTCGGAACGTGCACTTCATAAATTAACCTTTTTTTTTCGATTCGAGCAATCAAAAAGTTACACCTGTCGGCAGATGCTGGGTCTGCTGATTTCTATATTTGCATTAGAAGTGGATCCGATGAACTTCTAATAACGTTTTCATTTACAAGAATTCCAAAGACCGTTTTCATTTGAAGCTTTTTATTTATTCGTTCGTTGCTCGAGGGGCTCCAACTGCGGAAAGTAGGGGCGAGCGGTTTTTTAATTCCACATTTCGTGAAAATTACGTCAGGACGAATTGTAATTGTGAAGAAATCCATCCCACACGCTTTAGTAGTGTGGGTTTCGCGAGATAAACTAATCAATACCTTAGCTTTGATCAGAGTTGTAGGATTTGACCAATTTTAAAAGACCTACTTACGTTAAAATTTGCATATAGATCTACGGAATGAGCGAAATTCTTATATACCTACCATTTCAGTCTAGAAATTACATTTTTTGCGAGGCCCCATAAGTCCACATTGCATTAGTTTTTATTCGTTTACGCTTTTCATTTTACCAGATTTGTCACTTCTTCTTTCAAAATGGTAGTTCCGCAGTTGTGGTGCAGTTGGTGCTAAAGGAAATTGTCTATTTCGCATCCTCGTGGAATAAATTAGGAAGGGTTTTAAGATTATAGCATTCCATATTCATATATTAGACAGGCCACTTTTTTTCTGCCTTTAGATTAGGCCTCTTAGTCTGCAATTTTCTCACTTTTTTCTGTATAATAGTACACCTAGTAAAGATTCACAAACGCCTTTATTTTTTGTAGCATTCTGTCTGCTTGTCGGCTCCTTTTGTTTTTTTTCAACTTTAGACTCTAAACTTTTGGTGTACCGTTTCGTTTTTAAAACCTTCACTGAAAATACCAATTCACTCCTCGAAAACCAATCGCTCCTAAATTTGGAAACAGATTCTTTGTAAATCAAGAGATAATGCGATTTCAATTCTTCGGATTGTAGGTACATTGCATTCTTCTAATTATTTGGTTTCTTTAGTTTATTTTTAAAATTTTCACTTTTTTTGGATTTCTGGGACACCTTGATCATTGTAAATGCTCAT